CAAAAGAATTTATACACTTTCTACAACAAGCATCAGTATGGGACTCATATCTTTAGTTATTTATTTATTTATTCACGTATATAATAAAAGAAAAACAAAAACATACGAAAATGCACAAATGGGATGAAAAAAAACCTGAGGGTGTTTTAAAAGAAACCCACTGCTGTATTTGCTCAACACCAACTTATAAACTGCAAAACCTTTTTTGAAATGATCTAAAAGAAAGTTAAGAATCAATGTATCCTCATAGAACAGTTTGTATGATGTTCTACGAATTAGCCTCCCACGACTGTCCAATGTACAGTTACGTAATTAACGTAAAGTAACGGATGTTAGGTGTAGGAAAAGAAACGTGATGAAGACGTACCTTAAAATGACTCAATGTTCATTTGGTCTCGAACACGAGACTCCAGGGTAAAGTCCACGTTTTTGTGACCCGTCCAATCTGCAACCTGCCTCCCTACAAGACTGCTCACTTCCTTCTCTACTCTACTGTAGTGCATTGGTCATGTGGTTGCAGCCTTTCAAAATATGTGGGATATGTACGAATTTTGGTACATTAATTTTTGTGGGAAAACGTAGGAAGAGTTTATGAGAGCAGCCTGACAGTACAGTTTCCAACAAGACATACATAAAAAAGATGGGATAGAAAAGAAAAAGAAAACTAGGATTACAGCGCTGCTCCACAAATACTACGATTCTTTTTCAAAACCTAACCTACGTAACTTTAGGTTAAGTACGTAACTTTACATTAAGTACATAACGTGATGAGGCCCAACCATGATTCTTTTCCTAAATCTAACCTTTATAACTCTATGTTAAGTATGGAAATTTACATTAACTTCATGACATGACCAGAACCGACGCTGATTCTTTCCCAAATCTAACCTTTGCAACTTTAGGTTAAGAATGTAACTTTATGCTAAGTACATCACGTGATAATGCCCAACCATGATCTTTTTCCAAAACCTAACTTTGCACTCCACCCCCATTTTGTAGCAAAAACGCCTAAAATGACATACCCAAATTAAAATGACTGTAGCTTCTGAACCGCTCTGACTACATGCATGCATGAGGTCTTGCCAGAAAGAAAACTCTCTGAAGTTTCTTGTGAAAGTGTCAGAAACACTCTAGGTGATACAGAGACAGAGTAATGGGCCTCTGAAATCAGTTATAAGTTGAAGATTTTGCCTAAAATAAAATAAAAAATGATTTTCAGGATGAATAACTGTCTGTGGCTTCATCTGAGCAGGTAAATGACACTGTGGGGCTGTAGGCACACTATCAATGAACACTTGTTTCAAATTTGAAGAAGACTGCTCAAAGTATGACCATTCTACAGTGTTTTTACCATGAAAAGATCCAGGCGGAGCTCCAAATGACAAGTCAGTCACTCTGCTTCAAAACAGTCCTATCAGTGATCAAACAACACTCAGCCAGCTTCAAACATTGTACCTTATTGAAATCAGGTGTGATTATGATAGCTGATGTTGTTTATGACACAGAAACACCATAAAATATCACCAAATAAAGCCATATGAATCGTGAAAGTTATGATCCCACTTTCTAGACGGTAGATCTCAGCCAAAAATAGTGGTAGGAGTGAGACTCTTACCTTTTATAAAAAAGCTAAGTCCCCGCTAACAGCTCCACATAAGATCACGAGTAATCCTTTAACTTTTCCCCTCAAAAAACGGCATGACATGACTTGTCACCACTCATAGAGATTTTGGACTTTGTGTGTTTAGGCTACTCTGGTGCAAAATACATAAAAAATAAAAGAAAAACAATGTAATTTTTGAAAAGTCGAGAGCTTCCTGAATCCGGCAATACCAAACATCACATGGTTTGATGACGTAGTGCGCCTGGGAGATACCATTTAACAGAGGAGGGGCGGGCGAGGACGTCGGCGTCCTGGCAGAGTTAGAGAGGTTAAGTATGTAACTGTACATTAAGTACATAGTGTGATGACAGCCAGCCATGATTGTTTTCCTAAACCTACCATTCGTAACTTTAGGTTAGGTATGTAACTTAATTTTAAGAACATAATACTACAACGCCCAGCCATGATTGTTTTCCTAAACCTAACCTACGTAGCTTTAGGTTAAGTGCATAACTTTACGCCAAGTGCATCACATGATGATAGGAAATCATGATTGTTTTCCTTAACCTAACCTACGGAGCTTTACGTTGAGTACATAACTTAATGTTAAGTTCACAGCATGACAGTGCAGGACTTTAGGTTAAATACATAACTTTACGCCAAGTGAATCACGTGATGATGGCCAGCCATGATTCTTTTCCTTAACCTAATCTCATCGGTTTGGTGCTAATCCTTAAAATCTCTTATGAACATTGGAGGATTCATTGCAGTTCCATATATTTTCACGGCTTACATCCACTGTATCACAACTCATTAACACAGTGCTGCACTCCGTCAAGAGACAGTGTTAAACATCTTTTAAAAAATCAGAAATAAGGTGAAGCAGAGAAGCTGGTCCGTATAACTGGACCTGTGTGACCAGGGCTGGTTTAGTAGAACTGATCAACAGGTGAGGTGATAACAGCAGATCTGAGACCAGTTACAAAGAAACCATGAAAAGAAATGAGAAGTGAATTATGAAGAAATGTAAATACAAAAGTTCCTATCTGAAGTTTATTGGTGTCAAACATATTAAATAACTCCAGGGTTTGAGATAATGGGGCAGTGTAAGCGTTCCAGCTTATACATGTAATTTTACGCAGTTAAAAAGTTATTGGTACGAACCGTGTGTCTATAGGAGCCACAGTGTTGTAATAATTATCCTGTATGCAATGGTATTATTAACTCCTGTTGTATCACTGTAACACTCCCACAGAAGACACAGTGTCTGTGGTGCCACAGTGGCGTTAATGTCGGCACTCCTTCTGTAATGGTATTTCTGTCTATTATGTTGCTGTTGGCTTGTTATGCTATAACTTTTTATGATTATTGCTGCATCTGAACGTCTCATTATAAGCTAATTGTAGGTTATTTTACCGCATTGTTATCTCTAATGGTGTTCCTGACAGGTGTGGCTGTGGTAGGTGTAGTATGTCAGTGTATCGCCATATAATGATACACCAAACGTTCAAACCACTGACAGGTAAAGTGACAAGCATCGATCATCTCAGTACAATACAACCTTCTGCTGGGAAACCTTTGGTCCTGACATTCATGTAGATGCCACCTGACACAGTCAGCCTACCCAAACACCGTTGGCATGGCAACAGCACTGCCTAATAGCAGTGGCCCCCCATTTTGTTAAAACTGCCCAGGGACAACCTGAGGAATGTGACAAAGTGGTCAAGGCGTTGACCTGGCCTCCAAATTCCCTAGATCCCAAACTGATGGAGCATCCATGAGACATGCTTGTACCACACCTCACAACCCACAGGACTCAAAGGATCCGCTGCCAACACCCTTATGCCAGAGACCACAGAACACCCCCAGAGGTCATGTGTCCATGCCTAGACAGGTCAGAGCCAAGTCTGATCCATGGAGGTCCTACCGTGGAGCAAAAGTACCTCTGGGGTACTGGCATGTCCCATGAATCTTTAATTAGATTGGGATCTGGGGAATTCGGAGGCCTGGTCAACACCTTGAGCTCTTTGTGATGTTCCTCTGACCATTCCTGAGCAGATTTTGCAGTGTGCTATGGTTTACTGTCCATGCGCATTGAAGTGGAGCTACAGTCCCAGCTGGATGAGGACATCTAACTGGCCTACTGTCCTTGTCCCAGTACACAAGCACGGGAGGGGAATCCATTTATTGAGCCAAGTATGTGCGACTCCTCTACGATAGGTGGAGATATGCCCCCTTTCAGCTTGTTAGTATTGGACCTTTTTCCTGTTGACCTATTACGTCACAGACCAAACAATGGACAAACAAGTTAGCTACGGTTAGCTAGCAGCTAACTGCTACCATGGTGGACAACTTTACAGCTCTGTACATTTGGTCCGTCCAAAAAGTCACGGCTCTGGATGTAGATTTCTCCATGTTGTTACCGGCTTCTTCTTCTCTTACACATTTAATGCTATTGGACTTCCGGGTCAAAGCCCGGGGCGGAAACTGTGGAGCATGCTCAGAGCGCCTCGGCCAGTTTGGGTCTGATTGACTGTATACATGCAGGAGTCACATGATCTGGGTGTGTTAGTCCCACTGTGACACATTCACTGCAGGAACATTTCACTCACACTGACATGTTTACAGGGATTTTAAAAGTCTGACACAATAAATCCATTTTCTCTGATGTCTTATTTTGCACAATGAATGAATATCACATACATTGAAGAGTATTGTATTTCATGTCTCCATCTGCTGGTGGCCCATCATCATAAGAGTATGCATGTATAATATGATGTGAATTTCACGACAGAAGGACTTGATCATCACTAAAATTAGGTGGGAAAAAAGTGGATATATCGATATCAGTACTGGTTATTGGCCAAATAAGTTGTTATATATGGGCAAAAGATCCAATATCATGCATCCCTAGTGCTGCTGCTTTTTTTGTCACACATGATCATAAAGTGAACAGCTTTGGGTTCTTGGAATATAATTATAGTGCATATAGAGCCAGCATATTTTAAGATCTAACTCCTTTAAATTTGCTTTACAAGTAAACCTGATTTGATTTGATTTGATTTGATTTGAACTGGGGGTATTAAGGATTTATTTCAACCAAACCAGAGCTGTTGATTGTTGGAACATTGCAAAGACAAACCAAGACAGTTTTGGGGAGTTTTATTTTGTTTCTGTTGACCTTGAATGAAGTGTTTTTTCTAAAGACAAAATTCATTCACTATCAAACCCGAGGCAACATGCTGACATTTCTGCAGCACTACGTCTTCAGTCACTTTTACTTTGAGTAATTTTTTCCATTGTTTGGGAACAGACCTAATGAGGTGCACACTGAAACATCAAACATGTTGTCTGCATCAGCTTCTAATCTGTTATTAACTCTTTCCTTGTTCTCCAGGTGAAAATATGGTTCCAAAACAAACGATCCAAATACAAGAAGATCATGAAGAACGGGCCCTGTGGACCGGAGGGAGACCACCTCGCCCCCCCACCGCCGTCCTCCTCTTCCCCCTGCTCTCTGTGGGACATCAGCATGGCTGCCAAAGGTGCGCCGGTGCACTCTGGAGGATACATGAACAATTTTGCTCACTGGTACCCCGGACACCAGCAGGACTCCATGCCCAGGACTCAGATGATGTGACAGTCAGGAGGACGCAACACTTCCAGGACTAATTATGGATTTATACCAGCGAGATGACTGGAGCTGTTAGAGACACGGACGTTTTTAAGAGTTTGAGCCGCTCTGGAGGCAAAAATAATATAACTGGCAGAGATCAAATGCAGTGAACAGATACTGTGTCTTTACTTTAAGCTGGAAAGGCGTGCAGAGAGGCTGCAGCAGCGACCCCTGAGTGTACTGAACGGAGCGAGGGTTGGTTTAATTACTTATGAATTCATGTGTAAGGGGAAGAATGTGTTATTTCTTTTTCCAAAAGTCAGTCAGTCCTGCCAGTCACGTTATTTCTGCCTCCAGAGGAGTTCAGCCTGCCAAGACTTTTTTCATTAAGCTACAATTCAAATCTAATGCCAGGCCTGCGTCTGTGATTCTGGACTTTAAGGGTTTTTATGTCTTTTCAGTGGGTTATCAGTCGCCAGAAGAGAATGTTGGCATTGTCTCTGCAAACCATGAATATCTGACATTTACACGTTTCATACATATCGTATCAACATTTCTAAAGCGAGGTAGTATATGAGCTGACTGTGTCATCAGGAGGTGGAGGGGATGCTGAATGGCGTAACAACTAACAAAACTGGTTGTGATTTACTAAGTCATCGCTGTTTTTCCAGTGAAAATTTAGTCACCAAATGTGCGTGTTTCCTAACAATCCACTGTCGTGTTTCCAGTGGGTATAGTGGCACGAAGAGCTGTTGTTGTTTACTGAGACATTGCTGCGTTTCCTGCCAAGATAGTGCCCCAAAACCAGGTATTTTAAGCCAAAACATTGTCTTTTCTGAACCATAACCCAGTTGTGTTTAACTAAATAAAATAATATTTGCCAAAGCTGTCACTATATCCAGACAGTAGTACATGAAATACATCATCTTCCTCTGTCTCCTCCTTGTGTTCCAAATGGCAGTGCCAGAATCCACGGCACCTGAATGAAAGAAAAAAAACATATGCAGCAAAGACGAGTACGTAAAGAAAACAAGACAAGACAAAATGTAAACCAAAAAGAAAGACTAAACCGAAGCCGAGATAAAACAAGAAAGCTTGGGATGTCGGTTTTGGTTAATTTTGCTTTCAAAAGGCCTACGGCCATTAACCAGTGACCCTTGCTCAGTGAGCTTTAGTACTAAATATTTTGCCTTTTATTTTACTTTCTGTTGGCTTGCTGACAGACAGCCGGCTAACCACCTTAACACGTGGAAAAATAGCACCCCCTATCCACCCTCCAGTCTCCACCAGTTCCTTGGCTGCTCTGTAGTGCACACCACCCAGGTCAGGAGGGAGTTAATGTTAGCTAGCAACACCGCTCATTCAGAGATTACAGTAACGTCCCCCCTTAGCTAGCTAGCTCCTAACAGACTTCGGTCAAGTGCAGTGTAGTACAGTGAAGAGTAGCAAAATTAACCTGTAGGTGTAAAAAGTCAAAATATTATCAGTTTACCAATTAACGGTTAAATGTTGACAACCCTAGGCTACACATCAGAGTTGCTTTTCCAAGGTGAAGAGAGCTACGGGGACCTTAAAGGTTTCTAAACTAGTGCTGGTTCAGAAGTGGTTTGAGTCTTCCTTTGTTTTTCATCGTCGGTCTTCTACTGATTGCTTATGCTTTGCAGAATTCTCTTGGCTCTTATTAATTGTTTCTGTCCAGGAGCAGGCTGTTATCACAATTTTTTGTCATGTGTTTCACTACAAACAGCAGTGCACCTGAATTCGTATATCTCACGTATTTTGAAAGGCTGCGATCACGTGATCAATGTGCTGATGGCAGCAAACAAGGAAACAGTCCCAAGTGCCAGTGAGGAGGCAGGTTGCGGTGGTGGATGGTTACAAAAAAAAAAAAAACTTTAGCTCAGGACATTCCCCTGGAGTCAAGTGTTCAGGTCTGTGTGATCTTTGAGCACACTTTGAGTCATTTGAAGGTACGTCCTCACCATGTTTCTTTTCCTAAACCTAACCTCAGTAACTTTACGTTAATTAGGTAACTGTATAAAGTCATTTGTGGGGTGCAAATTCAAGGGATATCATACGAACCGTTCGATGGGAATACATCATCAGGAGCAGTGGATTCTTGCAAATGCAATTAGGAGCAGTAGGAGGAGGCAAAGGAACAGATAATCTGTCCAATTTATCCTCAGACAACGGTTCATATGGAATCCCACGAATTAATGCCCCACAAATAAGGTTACGTCCTTAACGTAGTTATATAATTCATGTTACTGTGGTTAGGGTTAGGCAAGTAAAGTTGCTGAAGTTAGGTTTTAAGAAGGAAACATGGAGTGGACATACCTTAAAATGACTCACAGTTTACACGGATCCGAACATCGGTCTCCAGGGGAAAGTCCTGTGTTTTGCGACCCGTCAAACACCCCAACCTGCCTCCTAACTGGACCTCTCAGGACCGCTTCCTTCTTTACTCCAGTCAGCACATTAGTCACATGATTGCAACTTTCCAAATTACATGGGTTACAAATTTTGATGCATTTATTTAACGTTTGTGAGAACAGCCTGATCTGTCTCGTACTTGGGTCAGGATACAGTGATAGTTATATAAAATAATAATTATATAAAAACAGAACCACTAACCACAACATTTTTGAGCATTTCATAATAAAGTGCAAATGTAACGTATACATGGTTTACACAAACTAAATGCCAACATGTCTTCTTGTGATTGGGGTTTTGGTGGGGTGGGTACATGTGTAAAAATAAGGGTTCTTCAGGGTCTCTTCAGTGCTGGTCTTTACGGATCTGATTCAGAGAACCCTCTGGTTTGATAAGAAACAGATTAAAGAACTTCTAATGTTTGTGTGTATTTTTGTAATTCTGACAGGGTGTGTAGCATATACAGCTTTACAGAGCCGTGACGGAGGGGTTGATTACAGCACCAGCAGAGGCTCTGATATGAACAAGCAGCTATTTTATGGTACTTATAATCCCCCTTTTTTAAGACTGTATGGGAAAAAGGCACTGAATGGACGAGGTTACTTTATTGTATGAGTCAAATTTTATATATATTTTTTCATTATAATAAAAAATCTAAAGTTGCTTTAAAGGCCCAAAAGAAAATGACAGAAATGTATTTGAAAGCCAAATATGTGTTAAAAAAAATGTGTCTCATTCTCATAATTAACTCCATTGACTAATTTTAAGTAACTGATCACATCACTCCTGCAAGTCTTTGTTTCTGTTGCTGTTGGATGGAGGGACTTTGCTGCACAAAAGGGTTTAATTAATTGATTGTGAACATTTCACCTTTCTTTTTTTCTCTGATGGATTTCAGTTTTGGTTGCTGTCACTTTAAATGTTTGATCCCAAAACTCGTTGTTTCTGCTCATCTTCTGAAGTGGGAAACTCCTGCAGTTTACAGTCGCCATGATTTGTTCAACAACGTCTTAAATTAGAGTTAGAGTTAATAGAGTTAATATTTTGCAGATAACACATCGGCTATGGGTCAGGACGTGCCATGTTTTTTGGAAATAAATCAAACCCAGTGATCACTGCCCGCCCTACTTGAATTTGTTTATTTAACTCACATCCAACATTTGTTTTTGCACCTTTAACATCGAATTCACAGTCTTCAGTAACGTATCGCTAAAACAACAGACTCCTTCTCAGTGTCTCAGCTCGCTGCGGCCCAGAGCCATTTTCTCCAGAGTCGTAAATCAGAAAGGAGCAGGTCACGTCTCTCCAACATCTGGAAAAGCAGAAAGAGAGTCGTCAAACATCGTCAATGATTTTATAAAATGACCACGTCAATTATAGGCAATTTAGGACACAGCTTGTTAAATAAAGCTTTCACTCTGGCGCTGTAATTATCTGTAATTGTCAGTCAAGGGAATATCCTTCTGCCTCGGGCCCTGGAGGAAGTAGTGGATTACATCCAACTGGATTACTGAGGGTTAATCCTTTCACAGCAATTTCATCTGTTGAATGAATATTACAAAAATGCATACATACATGACTGCATTAGGCTGCCTGTGGTTAGGGGTTTAATTTAAATTCTCCTGTTGGAGATTACGTAACACACAGAGCAGGAATGTTCACCTCCTTCTTCTTCTTCTTCTTCATCTTCTTCTTTAAGGACAAAACAGCAGTTAAAATACATTCCATTACTATTTTAAAACAATCCAGACAAAAGAATATTGGCCTTCAGGTGCAGTTTAGTACGATGATATGAGCTGTGTGTCTGAGCGAGTTTGTCTACAGTTGTGTCTGTGTGTTTTCAGAGGTGATAAAGTCATGTTTTCCTGGCAGACAGAGGCATCGTTGAACTGTCACACTGTGGGTTGAAGAGTCAATTGTGCTTACGATCACACCCAGAAGTGTGAAGTCACGTAGCGCTGCGCTGATCCATACATCCCAGTGGAAACATGACGAGGGTCTTAGAATCATCTCGGGGTGCTAATGGAGCAAAAGCTTGGTTTGCTAATTGATCACACATTGATGGAAATGATACAGTTGGCAAAAAAAAGATGAAAATATGGGACTGACTGAGATAGAAAATAATGAAGAGTGTAGGTGGTCTGTGTTCGAGCTGATTCACTCTAACGTGGTTAAATATAATGTTATTTAAACTCAGTAAAATTCAGCCGTCCTGAGATTGAAACTTATTCAAGCTTCACCATGTTATTTTTTTATCCAGCCATCCTTTATAATCAGTCCTGGGACCTACTTCATCTGTCGCCATCATAGGGCTCTGAAACGCCAATGAGCGTCTGTTTCAATTTTTTATTTCAATTTTATTTATAAAGCCCAATATCACAAATCACAATTTGCCTCACAGGGCTTTACAGCATACAACATCCCTCTGTCCTTAAGACCCTCACAGCTGATCAGGAAAAACTCCCCAAAAAAAACCCCTTTAACGGGGAAAAAAACGGTAGAAACCTCAGGAAGAGCAACTGAGGAGGGATCCCTCTTCCAGGACGGACAGACGTGCAATAGATGTCGTACAGAACAGATCAGCATAATAAATTAACAGTAATCCATATGACACAATGAGACAGAGAGAGAGAGAGAGAGAGAGAGAGAGAGAGAGAGAGAGAGAGATGCAGGTAATGACAGTAGCTTACAACAACATTAATGAAAGTAATAATATTATAGTTATAGTTCTGGCTACTGTGGTACAATATGTTGAAAGTATGTATTAGTATCAGACAGTATACTTGTGTGACAATAGTCATATGTGTATAATAACAGTAGAAGTATGACTAATGACTAATGATGGCAGCAGCAGCAGGAGGCATCTGGCAGGACCACGGCAGCAGCACAACCACACACGTCACACTGTCCAGGCACCGCTGCGGTATGAGTTATTCTGAGAGACAGTGGAGCACAAAGGCTCCGGAGAAGAAGCCGAGTTAGTGACATCCAGAATGGCCGAGTTAGCAAGATGCAGTAATAGGATGAGAGTGAGAGAGAGAGAGAGAGAGAGAGAGAGAGAGAGAGAGAGAGAGAGAGAGAGAGAGAGGGAGAGAGAGGGAGCCCGGTGTATTATAGGGGGTCCTCCGGCAGACTAGGCCTAAGTCAGCCTAACTAGGGGCTGGTACAGGGCAAGCCTGAGCCAGCCCTAACTATAAGCTTTATCAAAGAGGAAAGTCTTAAGTCTAGTCTTAAATGTGGAGACGGTGTCTGCCTCCCGGACCGTAACAGGAAGATGATTCCACAGGAGAGGAGCCTGATAGCTGAAGGCTCTGGCTCCTGATCTGCTTTTGGAGACTTTAGGGACCACGAGTAACCCTGCGTTCTCAGAGCGCAGTGTTCTGGTGGGATAATATGGCACTATGAGCTCTCTAAGATATGACGGAGCTTGACCATTTAGAGCTTTATAAGTTAACAGTAGGATTTTAAATTCAATTCTGGATTTTACAGGGAGCCAGTGCAGAGAAGCTAAAACAGGAGAAATATGATCTCGTTTCTTAGTTCCTGTTAGTACACGTGCTGCTGCATTCTGAATTAGCTGGAGAGTTTTTAAGGACTTACTAGAGCTACCTGATAATAGAGAGTTACAGTAATCCAGCCTTGAGGTAACAAAAGCGTGGACCAATTTTTCTGCATCTTTTCGGGTCAGGATAGGCCTAATTTTCGCAATATTACGCAGATGAAAAAATGCAGTCCGTGAGGTTTGCTTTAAATGAGAATTAAAAGACAAATCTTGATCAAATATTACTCCGAGGTTTCTTACGGTAGTGCTAGAGGCCAGAGCAATGCCATCTAGAGAAACTATGTCATCAGATAAAGAGTCTCTGAGTTGTTTGGGGCCAAGAACAATAACTTCAGTTTTGTCTGAATTTAACATCAGGAAATTGGTGCTCATCCAATTTTTTATGTCTTTAAGGCAGTTATGGAGTTTAGTTAATTGATTACTTTCTTCTGGCTTCATCGATAAATACAACTGTGTATCATCCGCATAACAATGGAAATTTATAGAGTGATTTCTAATGATGTTACCTAAAGGAAGCATATATAGAGTAAATAGGATTGGTCCGAGCACAGAACCTTGCGGAACTCCAAAACAAACTTTGGTACGTAAGGATGATTCATTACGAACGTCAACAAATTGAAAACGATCAGATAAATAAGATTTAAACCAGCTTAGTGCTGAACCTTTTAGGCCAATTAAGTGATCCAGTCTCTGCAGTAGAATTTGATGGTCAATTGTGTCAAACGCCGCACTAAGATCTAATAAAACAAGAACAGAGACGAGTCCTTTGTCTGAAGCAATCAGAAGGTCATTTGTAATTTTAACTAGAGCTGTCTCAGTGCTATGATGCACTCTAAATCCTGACTGAAATTCCTCAAATAAATTATTATCCTGGAGAAAATCACACAGCTGGTCTGCG